GTCTTGTTTCCATCTTTTGGTTTAGCTAACTGGAGAGCAGTGACATAATTCACGAAAGTTTCATTTTGACTGTCTACTTCTAATTCCTACTCATTATGAGACCCAAGAGAAGGCAGTGGCTAATGATTTCCGGAGAATTGTCAATGACGTTCTTATTTTAATAGATACTTGTTACTGCCTGAAAATCACCTAAGTAAAGTTAAAGCTGACATTCGAATTGTGAATTTAGCCTTTGTTATGACCAAGTTTATACTTAGTACATTCTGTTCCTTCTTATACTGAGGGAGAGCAGGTAATGGAGTAAAGTACAGAGCTTCAGTACAGAGCTCTACTTTAAGATATCAATCAGGATGTTAATAAATTTCTAGTTTATAAAGAATCATATTGTGCTCATCTTTTCTAGCAGCCAAAGAAAATGAAATTAAGTGTTCAGTCTTTAGACCTGGGCGATTAGTTCTTGTAAAAGAACTTTTGGGATTTTAGGAAGAATAGTGTAGTTTCAACATGCTTGCATGTATAAACCTCAAGTTTGTATTTATTATTTATGTTAATTTAGTTCAGGTTAAGTTCAATTTAATCATCGTTTGAAATCAGATGTCTGCAAAGTGCTTCATTAGCTCCACCAGAATAAGAAAAGGCAAGAGAGAAGGGAAATAGACATGATACATCTTTTTGTATAAAATAGAGGTTGAGGTAATAAATTTGTTAGAGGGTTTTAGAGGTTTAGATGAATTTGGAGTCTTTATGACTAGAAAAGTTGAAAATTAAGAAATATATATTAGTTTACATGTACTTATACCTAGACTATTTCTATAGAATTATTGAGAAAAATACACAATAAAACTTCAGAATGAAAATAGAGAAATAAATGTGGGCCAAAGTCAATACATAGCAACACAAGAAAATGTCTACTAAGTGTGGCAGTTCTTTTTAAAACATCATGTAAATCTGAGCTTTCTGAAAGCAAAGGCGCAAAGAGAAAGACTGAGTTATGCAGTTGTTTTATATAATAAAAGGGACGCACATGAGCTTATCAGAAGGGACAAGATTTTTTTCTAGCTAGTTCTGAACTCCAAGAATTGATCCCTTAATACCAGCAATTGTCGAAAACGCAAAATTCTCTTCATGTGAACAAATGTGAAAGGGATACTACTATAACATTGTCATAAACCTAGGAAGGTATTTCTGAAGAGAAGAAACAAAGTCCAGGTAAATAGTATACTTTTGATCTGACTTAACATAGGCATGCATATCCTGAATAATATCAAACTACATTTTTAGCGCAAAAATCTTAAGTCGAATTACCGCTTTAGAGGTAGATGAGAGTGGATCTCCTTGGGTCGAATTAGCCTGGAGAGGCTTGTAGTGTGGCTACTGGCTCCCTTCTTGTGCACCACTCCAGCTGGAGTGGCCACAGAGGCACCTTGTAGAGTCCACAGGACTTTGTGGAATACAGTATGAAAAAAACACTGAAGTACAGAAATAAATAGCTAGTATAGTCCCGTTACCTAATACTAGTATTAATCTTTATACAGATAGTAAAGTATTAACATAAAATATGTCTCTATGTATATTTCTGTGTAATTAGAGGACATTGAATTGTTTTTTTATTAAGCCATTTAATTAACTTCTAAAAAAGTTTCAGCACTTTTATTATTCATCAGCAAAATGAAATATTCTCAGAAAATGAACAGTAGTAATTAATACTATTTTCCATTCTGTACTCTTTGATGAGTTGTATGTTCCAGCAATTTTATAGTTCTTTGCTTGTTACGTTGATAACATACCTTTATTATGTAGGCACTGTAAACATGAAAATATGAAGTCTTGTAAATCTTGTCATATCCCATTTCTTGCAAATAAAAATTGCTTTGCAATGTTCTGGCATATATTGCTTGCCATGATATCAGTGATAGCCAAAACATTCATGACCTTGAACATAATTAGCATTATCACGATGGGTTTTATAAGATAGTATTGAGTAGTATTTGAAGGGCCAGAGAAACCTAATCACAGTTACTTACAACCAAGGTATGTTGCCTTGATTTTAGAACATTCTGTAAGTGGATGGTAGCAGCTAGCATAAAATAATCCCCTGAGAGTTAGACGCCTGATGGAATACTGAATAAAAATTTCCTTCTGTCCAATAATTTTTTTTTTCATTGGTCATACCTTTTCTATCTTTTCTTACAGCTACTCTCTTCTGTTTCGCCATATTTTCTTCTCTCTTTTTCCACCATTGTATTTTTCTCATTTGGAATCCTCTTTTTCTCTCTCAAATCCACACTTATTTTATATTCCCATTTTTTGACATCTGGCTCCTCCTGCAGTGGAGGTGTGGTCATTTCGTATTCATTTATTTGTTTCTAAGTGGTTATATCTGCTCCATTTTAGACTGTGCAGTAACATTTTAGAGGGAAGATGGATAGCAAGCACCTATATTTTACTGAATTTACTATATGCTAGGCACTGTTCTAAGTGCTTTATATATATTAACAGATTTTTAATCATCATTTAACTGATGAAGAAACAGAAATACTCAGTAGTTAAATGTTGCCCATCGTCACACAGTTAAAAAGTGGCAAAGTGGTATAATGTGGTTTGGCTGTAGTAGAGATGCAGTGGGATCTTTGGGAGAAGGAGCTTCATAACTGGGAGTACCAGGCAACACTATACATCACTTAAACAGCACTCTTCCATGTTGCTGACTTTTTAATTTCTGTAAAATAAAAGTATACCTAGACATTATCAGCTCTTGATAAAAGTGCAAACACTAAGTCCATGGTTAGGAGAGAAGAAGACATTTGGTGGTTTTTGTTAATAGGTGTGTACTAAAACACTGCATTTAGCAGTGGGTTGTTTGTTTGTTTGTTTGTTTGTTGGCATACTTGAATCAATAGATATTTGACAGCTAATGATCAATATTTATCTCAAGCTTTAGAAGAATTGAAATAAGGACCTCAGGATCAAAATCAATAAGGTTTTCTTCATTTGAATTTTTATGTCTTTAATGAAACCATATCAAACGAGATAGAAAATAATTAGATTTGAAATAATTTAGGTGTTGAAGTGATTTTGAGAATTCAGGTGAACTGTGAAACTCACTTTTTAAACTATCCAAGTGCTTAAAGTAAATGAATCAGAGTCACCGAGATTAATCTGGTGTGTAGGGCAGAAATGGTCAGAGAAGGATCCTTATATCTAAATCTAGTTAATTAATGATGAAACTCAAGTAAAAGTAGGAATTCGTTATAAGTTCATTTCAAAATTATGCAGAAGAGCGAAACTTACTGTTTTGGTACATAAAAGCAGAAGAAAAAGATGTCACCAATTCATATCTTTGCTGTCATAATATCACTCCTCATATATTTGTTTGATTCTAGAAAATTGCCAGAAGGTAACATTTGTAATATTCATCACTGTTTTAATTGCATAGTTTATATATATCATTGCATATTTAGTTACACTGTCATGGCTTAGAAGCACTGCTTTATTGCTTTGATCAAATATTTATTAATTATGTCATTTTCCTACCTTCCACCTCCCAAAAGAAAGTTTGGAAAAGAGATATGTCATGAAAATAACATCTTTAACATTTTCTTGGCATATGGTGTTATATTTAGCTAATCTGTAGAAGAGCATATTTTCACTTAATATTCATTCTAAAGACCTTGTTTGAAAGTACTAGATCACTGCATTTACCAAAGAATTTTGACCTCATTCTATGCTCATCTTTCTGCTTTTCTCTTACTTCCTTTTGCACAAATATTATTTGTAGACATTAGGCATAAAATAAGTAACAAAATTCCAATTTTAGTAATATCGTTGCTTCCAAAATTATTTAGAACACAGATAATTCGATTAATATTTGTCTTTTAGTCAAAAGCTAGTGGAAACTAGTTTCCTTCTATGTTTTTATTTCTTCATTAATTTATGAAATTTCCAAATTTATTGAGCAGTAATTTTTGAAAGGAAAATGGACTAAAGTCCTATTTTACACTCCAAATTTTCTTCTCCAACAATATTTGTTGTTCCTTTTGAACATTATCATGTATTGTAAACGAATATATTGTTCGCTTTTAGAGGGAAATAAATAGAAGTTCTAATTAGAGAAATTAGAGAATAGGTATTATGAGGAATAGAAAGTCTCAATAGGGTGATAATCTTCCTTAACTAGAAAGCAGTAGCTTTTGGCCTGTTGAGGAATCTGGACAATATTTATGTAGTACAGTATACCAATAGTGCCGTATCAATCACGAACTTGGTTTTCAAATGAATCTTAGGTTATTTACAATTACATATGAAACAATGTGGCTCCACAACCTTCATTGAATTGCTAAGGAGTTGGAATGGCAAAGTTTCTTTGGAAATGTGCAATGTAAATAAATAATCACCATTTGTACAGAGCAAATAATTATGATGTGCAGTTGTGAGAAATGATCAACAATAATGGACAAGATCACAAATAAGTCTCAACAACAATGGACAAGATCACAAATAAGTCTCTTGCAAAAGTGTGTAATAAAGTAGATGACATCTCTCTTTCTCCCTGACTCCTTATCTTCAGTCTCTTACTACTTTTAATAGTGCTCCTCATGTACTTTAGAAACACCAGTTTTATATCAGTTTTAGAAGCACTGGATTACATAAAGGAATATTTTCATTTTAATTTATTATACAAAGAAACATATAAGGTTGTGGCTTTGATATTTTATTGCTAGGATAGTAACACCATACTTTGAGTAGCAGTAACATATTTCTCTTCATAGAATTTTCTTGTGCCCAAATTTACCATATCATTGTGTAGGTGAACTTGCTGTGGAAAAGATCTGAATAAACTATGTGCTTTGACTCAAGGAAAAAAAAAAACTTACGACTTGATATCTCATCTTAACATTCACCTTAGCTTGGGTAATCATTTATTATGGCAGGAAAACTAGGTATGTTATGCTTTTTTATAATTGCTTTAATATTTCAATAAGGATTTGTTTCTTTCCTAGGGCCGTTGCATAAACTTCTCCCGAGTTTCGTCTCAGTAAAAGGAAAGCAGGAAGACCAAGAAGGTATGAAGATGGTACATCTTCACACTGCTGAATTCCAACCAAATGAGAAACTAATAAGTGCATTTTAGAAGTTTTTGGAAGAGCAGCTTTATTCCTTTCAGTCAGGAAATGTTTTCTCTGCCTTCTGCTTTGCTTGCACCAGACATTTCCAAACATTTGTTCTGCCATCTACACGGCAGTTGATGAAACCCAGTGGCAACTCATGATTCATCACACTGAAAATAAGGAAGAACTTTAATGTACATGCTCTGGTTTGCACAAGAAAGTTTGAATGTGTGGAAGAGGAACAAAGCAAAAATGACAGCAAGAAGATGATATCAAAACAGGGACCACAAAACAACTGGCCGTGATGGATCTTTAATGGAGAAAGGAGTGTTTAACATGGAAACATGGCACTTGTGTTTTTACATGGCAAGATTGTTTAGCCACGGGCAGAGTATAAAATTTCCCACCAGGCTAAGCAAATAAAGGGGTCTATTGCCTTATAGCTCTGTCAGATCACAAAATCTTTCCAAGTCGCCCACCACAACGTGCCTTACGGGAAGCTTCTGACTGGACTTCTTGTCATTCTAACACTGAAAAGTGCACACGCATGACAAAATGTAGACAGGATGCCTCAAGGTATTGGTAGCAAGCAAGATTGTGCCCTTTAGTTCTTGAAGACACCTTTCTTTCATTATGCACTCGGGAAAAGAAGAAATTAATAGAGCGTTATTCCACAGGAAGACAGCCACTAGGCAGAGATCTTGAGTGGAGTATAAGGGACTCATAATTAAGAACTTGTCCCTGTGATTGGTAGATTTACCCCTCTTTTAATGTGTAGGGTTTAGTAGTGCATAAAGCATTAATATCTGTAAACATACCTAGGAGTTTTGTTTGCTTTTAATTTAAAGGAAGCAGTAACATCGAAGCTTCCGCTCAGGGTTTTTTCTTTCTCCAAGTCTCTGAGGGCTCTTCAGCGTCACAAGCCAGCAACTCTCTTTGCATGAAAATTTCAAAGTTTAATTAATATAATTAAAGGCAACAGCAAGCAGCAGCCTGTGAAGATTTTGCTCATCTTTTTTATGCCTTTTGACATTGAATGACCTATTACTGTATGCACATTACTTGGATTTTGAGGAGCACTTCACCTTGGTTATGATTCAGTAGAGAAAAAAAAGATCTCCACTCATCAATTTATAAATTAAATTTTCAGGAAGATCGGCCACCACAAAACATCGAAAATGTATGTATTATAATTTTTTAGAAAAACCACCATCGTGTCATGTCGACAATGCCAAATTATGTTAGCGTGAGCAGAAACACTGTGGGGGAGGAAGAAGGCAGCAGCTGAAGAAAAAAGCTCAAATGATCTAGTCACTTTCGATACTGTACTTCAGATGCGAAATGGATATTCGACTCGAAACCTGACAAAGCGCGCCTGCTTTGATGTGAACTGGTATAGACAATGACCAGTGGCTGGGTCAGTGGGATGTCTCTCTGCGAGCACAGAGGCTTATCAAATGACACTAAAAATAAGTTCAACAACCATCACATTGGAGGGGAGAAGGCGAACATTTCATGTTTGGCGGGCATGTGAGTGCACGAGATGGAAAGAGCGATTTGGAGCAACCCAGTATAATTACCCCCGTTGTGCTCTTAATGGATATTTCAAAGGACGGCAGTGATTTTGTTGGTTGGTGTCCAGAGTTGTGGCACTGTTCCAAGAAGCCTTACAAACACAAATATACGTATATAGACACACACACACACACTCACACACACATATATATATACTCTAGTTTGAATCTTTTGCTCAAGTTTATTTATGTCACTGGCTGGCTGGATCCAAAGTCATGTGTCTACATATTCATAAATAAAAATTTACTTGTGCCTCTGCTACCATTTTCTTTAAGCCTACATAAACTCAAGCCTTGTTTGGTTGAATATATAATTGTCTTGGTTAGTTTCAGGGACAGAATTATATTGAGTTCCAACATGTCTTTTATGTTCACAAATGATACTATTAGCAGTAACTATTCATGTGTGCAAGTGTGACTTGGAAGCCAGATACATATGCAGTTAATTAGTTCTTGTAGACCTTCGTTCTACATTTGCATCTGGGACAGCGCCTATTGCTATTTTCTTAAATTGGCACTTCATTTCTGACAAGTGCACACTCCTAAATGGCATTTAAGAATATTAAGGATGCTTAGAGGCTGAGGCTGTTTCTTTGATAGTTACTTTGAATTTGTCTAGTATCATATGGCATTTGTATGACACTTGTATTTTGCTACATGAGCAATGTAAGTAGATAACGGCTCTTAAATGGTAAAATAGCTTTCTGTAGATTGTCATGCAAATGAATTTTCAGTTCTAACATAACTATGAAGAGCTCTCAATGAGGGAGAGGCAATGGTCTATTGTAGTCTAATAAAAAACCCTCATAAAGTTCAAAGACAGATGGAATTTTATTACACTTAAAGATGTGAATCAGATCTTTGTTATGATTTTCTCTGATTAACTAACAAATGAGAAGAATTTGCTTTAAAGAGTACTGTTTTCTTACCAAAGGACTAAATTGAAAAATTCTACATCTTTTAAACAGGAAAATAAAAGCTTAGAATAAAGCCATTTCTGTAAGTTTAATAACATTTTATATTTAATGTAAAAAACTAACTCCTGTTTAATATTTTGGACATAATGTCCTTGAAGATCTACTTTCTGTGAATAAACGAGTAAGTCTTTATCCATAATCCGTTTGTGCTGCATAAGGTTGCAAAAACAATTAAGTGGGAAATGACTCCTAACTTATGTGTCTACTCTGTCTGGAAAGAAAGTTTTGAAGACATCTATATATATTTCATAACAATGTCTGTTCTTTATGGATTTGATCCATAAATATTTATCTATCTGAAAACTTTGATACTTGGAATGTTTTCCTTTAAGCATTTGGTGCTCCCAGAAAAAACATTTGGTGCTGAGAGTTACAGCACTGATGCCTTTCCCCAAGTTAATTCTATTTTAAAATTTTATATTTCCTTGTCAATGAAATGTAGAGTAACATTTGAGACCCTCCATTAAGTAGGGAGCAGCATCTGTCACTATGGATAATTACTATTTTGACAAAAATATGTAAGGTTTAAACCTTCTATATTTCAAATCGTTAGAGAAAAAGCAATTTGCTTATATTTCCTTTAAACTTTATTCTAACCATTTTAAATCATAAATTATTCAATATTTGTTTTTTAAATAAATTTTTACTGGATAAAAGATCGAGAGTCTCTGTGAACTTAATAACTTTAAATAGCCATGACCATTGTTTACTAATTAGAGGAAATTTATTAGTTTTTTTAAATTAAAACTATATTATGGACAACAAAATGTCTAAAATATTTTTGCTTCATGAATTACACATATTCTTTAATTTTAAGAGGGCAAAACACAATAAGGTCACATTTACAAATATTGTAAAGCATTGTAACTTCCTCCACTGCAAAGCCTCGTGGTTCACTTTTACAAGGTTTTGTACAGCATCACATTACTTTAGGAAATTTATTAGTGTTATTGCTACTGGAAAATTTTGGTGGTTGTATGTGCACAGTAGAAATATATCCATTAGTTTCATACGAAAGAAAATCTAGAATCTAGAATCATAGATCATCTCTGGTGCATCTATTGTATGTTTAAGGCAAGAAACAAGGTGAGGCTAGAAAATGTCTATTTGCAGATAATAAAGTGAATGCAACCATATAGTCTAGTCTTGGAGTTAGATTAATATTTTATTTAGTAAATGTCTATAGCATATTTCTGAGAACACTTCAGTTTTGGTATAGCTATACGTTTAATAGATTCTAATTCAGTCAACTTGATAAAAGAAAGAAAAATTCTTTTCTTTCTCATAATGTAGCAAGCCCCGTGCTTGTTTTTTAGGTACTTTATTTTTATGCTTTTCTGCCAAAAGAAAATGCTGATAAGCGCACAACATAACATGCAAATTTATATTAAAATGTGCTTGTTCAGATTGCTTTTCAAGATCTATATGAAGGTAAGGTGTGTGTGTGTGTGTGAGTGTGTGTATCTATGTGTGTGTGTGAGATAGAGTGACTGAGTGTGATACATGCTACAAATCGTCTTGGCTTAGGAATCTGGTGATGGAGGGCCTAGACCATAGACCTAGCCACAACTAGCTTGCTGAAATTGAATGTATCAGCTTCTCAACCACGGGCCGGAGATGAACTGAAGATAACTAAAGTTTCTTCCACTCTGATAGCATTTCTCTGAATATTGTCATATTGGAGGTTTTTGTATTTATATATCATGTTTTTAATAACTTGCTTTATTTGTAAGCATGGTAATATTAGCTCTGTAAACTGCTATTTAGTTACAAAAAAGACATTGAAGCGTAGTACAAAATTTGATAATTAGCCATAAGAGAGTAAGTTCTCAATTAATTTCTTATAACTACAATTTGTCAAAGAAGAAACTAATAATAAAGTTTATATCTGATGAAATCCCTCAAGAGATGAATAAAATATTGACAAATATATTCACATATTTCAGTCTGACTTTACAATCTTAGCAAGAATCTTAAAGGTGTGTATAAAAATGTACAGAAGTTGTTATGAGATATATATGCCACTGGTTTTAATGATTGAGGTACTTTGTACCTTGCAAAAAATGTATTGAATTTTTCTTTCCTTAGTCAAAACTGGGGGGAAAAGATCTCAGTTGAAAATAACTATGCCTGCGTTTCCCATAACAAGTATTCAATGGAGAACATTTTATTGTGTAATTTGAACACAGCTTAGGTCACGTAGTATGTTAGAGTTGCTAACCTAACTACAAAGTTACATTATAAAAGGAAACTGAAAGTAAGAATTAAAAAAATAAGTCTCTTAACATCGTCTTTGAATTACTGTAAAGTTATTTGTATCTTAGATGAATTATGTTTACAAGATTGTAAATATCAATGGATAATCCAAAGTGCATTGCAAAAGTTAGTAAAATGTACGTTTAAGATTTCAATATGATAGAAACATCAAGAGTTAATTTAGAATGTAGACTATCAAAAAGATATGTGTTGCCTAAAAGGCAAGATGATTTTAAATAATTTTGATGCAGAACAAAGAAATTGAGAGCTTCCAAAGTCATAGATGATAGAAAAAGGAAAGATCATGTACTAACTTCGAAATAAATCTGAACCTCTCTGCATGCTTTTGTACTCCACCATCTGATTTGTATAAGTAATTGGAGAAAGAAACACTGACAATATAAAATAAGATTGACTAGTTCGAGCAGATGACACCTGTAAATAGAATTTTTACTAGTTGAAATTCTGATGTGAAATGAGATGATTATCATTATCACACTAAAGTGTTCTTTCTGAGTTCTTTATTTTTTTAAAAAAAATCCTCTAATTCTAAAAGTCTCTGTTAATTAAACAGAGCAATGACAGACCATCTTCTTTAAATACTTTGTTTGTGTGAGGCTGTCACATGGGAAGAAAGATTAAATTTTAAACAATATGTTCAAGTGTAAAAAATCTTCAACAAATTCTTAATGTTTAAAAAAATGGGAGAAGGTTCCAGGACTTTTATAATTAACATCCTGGGATTCTTCATAGGGAGCTGAATATTCCAGAAAGTTTGAAAGGATTTTACATAATTTTAAAAAGGATATCAAAGACTAAATTATGCCTTGGAATATTCAGTGTACTTTTTCTCATTTTAAGGGATGTTGATTGGTATGATCACAATAATATGGCACAACACTAAAAACGAAAGAAAATTACCATGGCATTAATGATTGTTTATCATCTCTGAAATGAGGTATTTATATCAATGATTAAAATTTTTTTATTCAAAATGACAAAGACCAATTCACAAGTGATTTCAGACTTATTAAATCTATTGAGTAGAGTAAATCTATTGAGTAGAGTAAAAATAGTATATTTCTCAAATTATTTCTTTAAAATTACAAATAACGTGGAAGGCATCCCTTTACTTTAAAAAATATTTCCCTTGACTCTTCAAATATCAATCCAATAAACTTCAAACCAAGGTCATTACTACATATGTTTATAATTTCTAACATTGAGAAAACACTTATAATATCAATTAAATTGAGAACAGAAGGCTTGTATTAGTTTTCTATTGCTGCTACAATAAACAGAGTACTGTAAACTTAGTGGCTTAAAACAACACAAATTTCTCCTCTTAAAAGTCTGGTGGTTCGAAGTTTCACTGAGCTAAAAAGCTAAGATTTGAGCAGGACTGATTCCTTTTAGAAGCTCTGAGGGGAGAATTTGTTTCCTTGTCTTTTCAGCGTCTAGTGGCGACCTGTTCCTTGGTTTACGGCTCTTTCTTCCATCTTCAAAGTATTTCACTAGCCTCTGCTTCAGTCATCACATCACCTCTTTTCTCTCTGATCTCCTTTCTCCCTCTTAAAAGGACCATTGTAATTATACTGGACCCTCTCAGATAATCCTTGATAACCTCCTCATCTCACAATCCTTAAATAATTACATTTTCAGAATCCCTTTTTCCACATAAGGTATTAATCACAGGTTCTGGGAATTAGAACATGGACATCTTGGCGGGGGCGGGAGGGAGGTATTCAACCTACCACACGGTTGAATAATAATTTTTCTTTCATTAAATACTTTCCTTGTATCTGATACCACAACAAAAAAAATGTAAGTTGAGTTCAACTTCCTCCATTAGATCCTTGTCTACCAAAATTCTTTAGATCTCGTCATCACACAGTGATTTTGGTTTTAGAGGAACTCCATTTGTCCCCATTCTACTGCTTCATATTTTACTTGAGATTTTTTTTTTTTTCAGAAAAAGTAAAAAGTGCTAGAGGATAAATTCTTGGAAGAGCTTTGCCAGATGATAAACCTTACATAAGGCTGAGAAGCATTTAGGTGGTTTTTTGGTTGCCTCTGGAGCATTTCGCTGGCCTGTCTGCATAAGTCCAGAAGTTAACCTAGGTTTAGTCCCCATAGTACTTTTTGCTATCATGCTGAAAATCTCTTTAGAAGATATTGAAATATCACTAGAGACAAAGGACAAAAATAGTTTATGTCCTAATGCTAATGTCAGCAATAGATATATAAAAAAGAGCTTGATAAGCATTTTTAAAATTATTATATTAACTATTTTATCCAAACCATGTGGCATTCACACATGGCACACCCTGTGTTTACACAGGTCACTGATTCCAATCTGACCACTCACACGAGAGAATATATATATATTCTGGCTACTCATACATGAGAATATATGTATAATATTGTGTATTATATATATGTGTGTATATATATAGTTTTGATTATATTATTTGGTTCCATGTATGATTTTGTCACTCCAGAACATATATTCCACAACAGAAAATTTAACAAATAATTATTAAATGTCTACTGAGAGCCAGGCAATATGTGAATCACTAGAAAAGTGGTAATGCATAAGTTGAGCTTACATTCTAGTGGTGAAAAAATATAAGTAATAGGTAACAAGTGGGATGAGCACCTTGAATGTGTGAGTGCTATGGTAGCATTTAACAAGAAGATTTAACTGGGTCTAGGGTTTCAGGAGAAAACGAGTAGCAAGAACTTTGAAGGATAAGGACACAAAGGGAGGAGGAAAAAAAAATATGTAGATAGTGGGAAATCATACCCTAGAATTAATAGAAACTAGGCTCTCTTTGAGGACTGAGAGATATGAATTACAGAATAGGCTGATAAGAGATAGGTCATAATGATATAGGAAGGGATCAAAAAGTGTAGGGCTAGGTTCACCATTTTTTACTCTATTTTCAATATGAAAAGATTTTCAACAAGTGTCTGAAGGTTTAAAGCAGGAAAGAAATAGTACTGACGTTTGGAAACAATAACAGATTAGAAAAGAGACCATAAAAGAAAGGATACATCACAGATAAACTCAATATCTATCCTCAAATCTCACATCATTTTGCATTGTCTAGATATTATATTTCTGAGCTTGTCATAAATCAAACTCCCTTTGAATTAAGGGACCATTTATTTTCCACTACCTCAATTAAAACATATTCCCCTCAGTTTTAAACAGAAGTCATGTGTTTAAAGTTAGAACTAGTCATTCTTGCTTCACACTGGCATTTTTTTCTGTTACTTATTCAAGAGTACTATTTTGAATAATTTGGTCCACAGTACTACTTCTCCCCTCACTTGTCCCCCTACACCATCTCTATGGGACTTCTCACCCCCGTGCCTAGATTTCTGGGGTCCGACCTCCACCAAGTTCCTATTGCTGCTCTAAATCTTTTAGCTTTACCCTTATATTGGCTGGAGACTTGCTAATGCTAGTAACACCAATTTCACAATATCGGCATGTCCTACCCAGAAGACCTAGCATAATGCACATTAGGATGTCACCCCTATTATATTATTCTTGACTTTTAGAACTTCTACTGCAACTGAGACAAAAAGAATCCCATTTAACATTATGTTATAATTTATTTAAAAGGCACCATTCTGGGCATTGGGGAAATAGTAGTGAAGAGTGGCAAGATCTTGGCTATCATGGATTTTACATTCGAGTGAAGAAACAGAAGATAAACAGTGGGACTTCCAGAGAGATGCTCTCATAAGGTGTCAAGTATGTAATATTTGTCATATGTGCTGTGAAGAAAATAAAGTAGGATGAGATTAAAAACTAAGCACAGAAGGATTTGTAGTTAAGGTGGTCAGAGAAGGTCTCTCTGAGGGCATGAGAATTCCAGATAGAAGGAAGAGCATATTCCCAGGTCCTAAGACAAAAACAAACTTGGTAAGGACAGAAAGTTGAATAGAGAAGGGCAGAGGGGCTGGCGAGAGAGTGTGTGTGTGATAGGAGGGGAAGCTAAGGTAGGGCTTTGAAGGCCATGTAAGAAGATTAACTAAGATAGGAGGCCAGCTCTTAGAGGATTTGAGGAGGATAGAGATATATTCTGTTTTATGGTAGGAAAAAAATAATGACTCTAGCTTCTGAGTGGAGAGTAAGCATTAGGAGGCAAAGATGGAAGCAGAGAGACGTGTGAAAATATCCTGTTTTTAAAATTCTATGTAAATGTAAGACCATTTATATATTTTTCAAAAGATAGCGATGAATAATATAGAAGACCTATATTTGAAGTTGACCATAATATTATTAAAAGAAATACCAGGATATTAAAAATATCATACTTGTAGTACTTGGGTAACTGGAAGAATAAATTGCCCTTCCTCTCCTCTTTGTAGTCAACAAATGATCATGGCAGCTTTTGTCTAAGGACTTAACTCAGTGAGGAAGGGCTCTTGCAAATCACACATTCAAAGATTCAGTTGAGTTCTTACATATGAAGTGAATCTCCAATCTGAGTTCTGAAATAGTAGCTAAACAAAACAATTTCCCTGCATAAAGCAAATCTTGGAGAGTTTTTCCCCCTCCCCTGAAATGGAAGGGAAATAATATGAAGAAGAAAGGAGAGAGAGAGTGGGGATTGCTGAGCAACA